TCCACCTCCCCCCCCCATCCATCGGCCACAGGCCGGCACCCTTTCAGGGACACGTTCCCCGCTTTATTCCATCGCCGGATCTTTTTCGAAGGCCTTTTCCTCACGGCCCTCTGGGACTCGCCGGCCCCTTTCCGACACGGGCGCCGTCGCTCGACTTCCGTGCGGTCCCAGGTCTTTTTTGCATAAGGCTCTTTGTCCGTTTCCCATGACGTTTCCGTGCGTGCCGGAGCCGTCTCGCCCGAGGGAGTCGGCCATCGTAGCGCTCGCCGCGCGGCGGCCCGGAGCGGCCGTCGGTGACTCTACGCGTAATCCCCCTGATGGTATAACTTGGCGGGGGGCGTGTCTTTTTGCGGGGCATTGATTTTTTTGTCCTCCCCTCACGGCGCATTCTCTTCGGTGTTAGCAGATCGCGTGGGCGTCCCCGAGAGGAGAACTCGTGCGGACAGGAGAGGCCCGAGAACAGGTGAGGCAGATGCCCGGGGGAAGGGGGCGGGCGGCTATTTTGTTGCGGTGCGGCGGGGCGTCGTCGGGCCGCCTCTCGTCGATTTGTCTTTCCGCCTGCTCTTTCAGGTGCCACGTGGACTTTTTGCGTTTCCAGATGAAGGATGTGAGGTGAGACAGGCTTCGCCGGGTATACTGTTGTGTCTGTAGTTCTCTGGCTACTTTTCCCAGTCTAGCACAAGAGTCAGTCTGTGTTGTTTTTTCTTTTGCAGATGTCCTCAATGTCATCACAGTCCTGATACCAGAGGGAGGATCTGGCACAGTGCAGGCGAGCAGAAGGAGGGTGATAAATGTGAGGAAGAGTTTTTTTTCTGTGGGCGAGGTAGGTACCGGCTCTTCTAAGGATGTCTCCCCGCGCTCCGCCTCGGCAGGCGACGGAGGCGAACGAGGCGCCCGAAACGAGACGGAAGAAGTCGCGTCCACCCCTCGAGGAGGGGCCCCAAAGCGCCGCGGCGTCCCGGAGCTCCGTCCAAGTTAAGCGGGGACACGGGACGCGTCAGGGTCGTCGGACGCCTGCCGGTCGCCGGCCCGTCCGGCGCGGACGCCTCTCGCGGGCGAGCGGCGCGTGAGGGCGGCACCTCGGGCGATGCGCACCAGAAAGCGGGGGCAAGCGGCTCCGGTCCCTGTCTCTGTGGCACGTGTCGCTCCACTGTTAGGGTCTTCAGGTCGCTCTCGCTCTTAGGGTTTGGGAACGCAGCCGGTAATTTGTGGCAGGAGCAGCATAGGCATCCTTTGTCTTTCCACCTCTTCCCGCCGCCTAGGCCACGTCGTCTTCTTCGTGCCAGCGGATCCTCTCTCGCGGCGCGAACCCGACTCGGGCGTTCCGTCCCTCCGTCTCCAGGGCGTCACCGTCGGCGGCCTTTCCTGCTCGTGACCCTCATCGAGGCCTTATAGGACCACAATTTCCTCTCGGAAGCCGGTCTCGTGTAGCCTTTCTCAGGCGATCTGCCAGGCCCTGAACCACAGGCAGAAGTTAAGGTTGACTTTACAGCTGTATATGACTCTGCTTCTGTAGAAGTACCCAGAACTCGCCTGCACGTTGCTTCTGCTCACCACCTGCCCATAGCCTCATTCAGATGTAGCTTCTGTAGGCTTTCAGGTAGGCAGTTTTGACCCCCAAGGGAGCTTTCCCATCCGAGGTCGGGGCTCCGGCCGGGTCCCGGCCCCGGACGCTAAGGAAAGCGGCACCTACCGGACGTTGCCGCCAACCAAGAAAACGGCAGGTTTTGCCGATTCGGCCTTATCGACGCCGGACCCCTCTCGCGGCGACTTCGGAGACCTCGCTTACGGGCGGACGCGCCGCGTAAGAGCTCCCGGTTACAGGGAAGGTCCTCCCGATCCTCGCCGCGACGGGGGCTCCCCGGCGATCGCGGATCCGGGCGATAGTAAGGCTGGCAGGGAGAAAGACTTGCATCATTTGCTTGATCGCTATTCTCTTTCTTGTATGTTAATGGTAAGGGGTGTTACCTTTCTTCTTGCCTGTAGTTAAATCTCGGTGCCTAGAAAGATTAGTGTTTCATTAGATGCACCCTTTCATTTCTTTCTTATTTGCTCTTAACAGTAAGCATGGCCATTTTCTTCCTTCATGACTTGTTCTTTCTGACCGTGCCCCACCCCCACCGCCCCATCCATTGACAGAATCCAGGCACCCTTTTGGGGTGATCCTCCCTGCTTTCTTCCATCACCAGATCTTTTTCAAGACCTCTTTCTCATAGTTCTTTCCGGCTTTGCCGGCCCCTTTCCGACACGGGCGCCGTCGCTCGACTTCGATCCGCCCTTTTGCCGAGCGTCGTTGCCATGTTGTCAGGCTTCTCTAGTCCTCGTTCTCTTCCGTGCGGTCGCAGGTCTTTTTTGCATGAGTCTTTTCCTCTGTCTGATGACGTTTGTGTGCGTGTCTGCGCGAGCACAGCGGGAGCCGTCTCGCCCGAGGGAGTCGGCCGTCGTAGCCCGTGCGACGGCCGTGACCCGGAGCGGCCATCGGCGAGTCTACACGTCATTCTCCCGACGGTATAACTTGGCAGGGGGATCAGTATTGTAGTGGGGTATTGTTGCAAGCGGGTGTGATTTTTGTTGTCCTCCCCTCACGGTGCGCCCTCTTTGGTGTTAGCAGATTGCGTTGGGGTCCCCGAGAGGAGAACTCCTGCGGACAGGAGAGGCCCGAGAGCAGGTGAGGCAGATGCCTGGGGGAAGGGGGGATGTATTTTGTTCACGGGCTGTCGGGCGTTCCCGGTCTGCCTCTCGTCAATTTGCCTTTTCTCCTGCTCTTTCAGGTGCCATGTTGACTTTTTGGGTTTCCCGATGAAGGATTTGAGGTGAGGCAAACTTAACTGGGTATGCTGGCTTGTCAGTAGTTCTTGGACTACTTCTCCCTGCCTAGCACAAGAGTCCCTTTTTTTTTGTTTGTTTTATTTTTCTTTGTAGATCTCCTGAATGTCATCACCGTCCTGATACCAGAGGGAGGATCTGGCACAGCGCAGGCGAGCAGAAGGAGAGCGATAAATGCGAGGGAGAGTTGTGGTTTGTGAGTGACGTAGGTGCCCGCTCTTCTAAGGATGTCTCCCCGCGCTCCGCCTCGGGAGGCGAACGAGGCGCCCGACACGAAACGGAAGAAGACGCGTCCACCTTCCGAGGACATCTCCCGAAGCGCCGCGGCGTCCCGGAGCACCGTCCAAGTTAAGCGGGGAGATGGGACATGTCGGGTTGTCGATTGCGTGTGGGGTGCCAGTCTGTCCGCTATGGAAGCCTCTTATGGATGAGCGGCGCGTGAGGGCGGCACCTCGGGCGGTGCGCAACAGAAAGCACGGAACGGCTAGCGCGAGCGGCTCCAGTCCGCGCCTCCGCGGCGCGCCTCTTGCCGCCACGCTCCATTGTTCAGGTCTTGAGGTCGCTCTCGCTCTTAGGGTTCGGGAACGCATCCAGCGCCGTGTGACAGGAGCCACGTAGACGTCCTTTGTCTTTCCACCTCCTCCCACCGCCCGGGCCGTGTCGGCTACTTCGTGCCGGCGGATCTTCTCACGTTAGCGCCGCGAGACTCGAGCGTTCCGTCCCTCCGTTTCCAGGGCATCATCATCGGTGGCCCTTCCTACTCGTGACCATCGTTAAGGCCTTATAGGGCCACACTTTCCTCTCGGTAGCTGGTCTCACGTAGCCCTTCTCAGGCGATCTGCCAGGGCCTGAACCACAGGCCCAAGTCAAGATTGACTTTATGGCTGTATATGGCTCTGATTTTGTAAAATTGCCCAGAACTCTCCTGCCTGTTTTTTCTGCTAACTACCTGCACACAGGCTCATTCAGCTGTAGCTTTTGTAGGCTTTCAGGCAGGCAGCTTTGACGCCCAAGGGAGCTTTCCCATCCGAGGTCGGGGCTCCGGCCGGGTCCCGGCCCCGGACGCTAAGGAAAGCGGGACCCCCAGATGTTGCCGCCAACCAAGAAAACGGCAGGTTTTGCCGATTCGGCCTTATCGACGCCGGACCCCTCTCGCGGCGACTTCGGAGACCTCGCTTGCGGGCGGACGCGCCGCGTAAGAGCTCCCGGTTACAGGGAAGGTCCTCCGAATCCTCGCCGCGACGGGGGCTCCCTGGCAATTGCGGATCTGGATGATAGTCAGGTATTTAGGCAGTAGGTCTTGCATCTTTGGCTAGATCGCTCTTTCCTTTCTCGTATAGTAATGGTTAGGGGCGTTACCTTTCTTCTTGCCTGTAGTTAAATCTCGGTGCCTAGTAAGATTATTGTTTCATTAGATGCACCCTTTCATTTCTTTCTTATTTGCTCTTAACAGTAAGCATGGCCGTTTTCTTCCTTCGTGACTTGTTCTTTCCGACTGCCACCTCCCTCTCCCACATCCATTGACCGAAGCCCGGCACCATTTCGGGGTGACCCTCCCCGCTTTCTTCCATCACCGGATGTTTTTTGAAGACCTCTTTCTCATAGTTCTTTCCGGCTTTGCCGGCCCCTTTCCGACAGCGGCACCGTCGCTCGACTTCGATCCGCTCTTCTGCCCGGTATTGTCGTCACAATGTTGTAGGGCTTCTGTAGTCCTCGCTTTCTTCCGTGCGCTCCCAGGTCTTTTTTGCATGAGCCTTTTCCTCCGTCTGTCTGACGATGTTTGCGTGGACGACTGCGCGAGCGCAGCGGGAGCCATCTCCCCCGAGGGAGTCGGCCATTGCAGCGCCCGCGACGCGACAGCGATGACCCGGAGCGGCCATCGGCGATCTTTTGTGTAATGCTCCTCATGGTATAATTTGACGGGGCGATCGGTATTGTAGTGGGGTATTATTGCAAGGGGGTACGATTCTTGTCATCTCGTCCCGGTGCGTTCTCTTTGGAGTTAGCAGATCGCGTGGGGGTCCCCGAGACGAGAAGCCGTGCGGGCAGGAGACGCCCGAGAACAGGTGAGGGAGATGACTGGGGGAAGGCAGGGGGAGGGAGGGCGGTCGTTGTCGTGCGGTAAGGCGTTGGCCGGCCGCCTCTCGTCGATTTGCCTTTTCTCCCGCCCCTTCAGGTGCCGTGTGGACTTTTTGGGTTTCCAGATGAAGGATTTGAGGTGAGGCAAACTTATCTGGGTATACTGGTGTATCTATAGTTATCAGACTACTTTTCCCTGCCTAGCACAAGAGTCGCTTGGTGTTTTTTTCTTTGTAGATCTCCTGAATGTCATCACAGTCCTGCTACCAGAGCGAGGATCGGGCAGAGTGCAGGTGAGCAGAAAGAGAATGVTAAATATGAGGGAGAGTTGTTGTTTGTGAGTGAGGTAGGTGCCCGCTCTTCTCAGGATGTCTACCTCCGCTCTGCCTCGGCAGGTGACGGAGGTGAACGAGGCGCCCGAAGCGAGCCGCGAGAAGATGCGTCCACCCCTCGAGGAGGAGCTCCAAAGCGCCGCACCGTCCCGGAGCACCGCCCAAGTTAAGTGGGGAGATGGGACGCGTCGGGTCGTCGGTTGTGTGCGGGTCGCCGGCCTGTCCGGTATGGATGCCTCTTGTGGATGAGTGGTGCGTGAGGGTGGCATCTCAGGTGTCGCACAGGAGGAAGCGTGGGCTTGCTAGGGCAGGCGGCTCTGACCTGTATCTGTGGCGTGTATTTTAGCTGTGCTCTGCTGCTCAGGTCTCGAGGTTGCCCTTGTTCATAGCATTCAGGAACACATCTGGCACTGTGCGACAGTAGC